CTCAGCCCAAATTGTGTATTACTTCCTTTATATTATTTGTGTACGTGAATCTATGTGATGAGTATATCAACAGGCTAAAACGCCGAGACCTCTATAAGAGCCTCTTCAAATACCAAAAATTTCTGGAGAATCAACCTGTCAATTCCTTTTGTAACTGGTCGACTTTCAAAATGCAGTTTCATTATAGAGCGGAAAGTGATTTTAGGCTTGCCAGCACCATCACAAAAAAAACATTTAACATTTCTCCCTTTAAGGCAATAACGACATAAAAATTCCCCAGACAGGTCTCCATACATTTCCAAAAAGAATAATGACATGTAGTTGAGACAATTTGTTATAAGATCAATCATTTTCCCTTTGGTGATCATAATCATTGGTTCACATAACTTTTCTCTTGTTGATGTATGATGTATTAACTGCCCACAGTACAGAATTAGAGTAATAATAATTTATTTATTTATTATATAAACACGCGATTTTCTTTATCAGAGAAGCTATATTTATGTACAGATGGTAGAATAAGAAAGTGTACTTATACATGACTCTGGAAACTGGGCTTTCAGTACATACATATAGGTCGACAGTTCACTATTTATTTTTCCTATCGTCTTTGACAATTTCGGAAATTCCTTAATGGAACATTTGATTTTAGTGTTAGTTTAACAACTAACCCTTCCGGGATTGAATTCTATTTGTTTTCGACTGACAGCTGTCAGCTGAGCTGTGCTTTCGGCTCTAATATTCTTGCCTCAATTTCACAGTAGCCTACGTTTTCTTGAGCGAACAAAATAAAGTTATTGTACAAGAAGTCATAAAATATGTTTTGTCATGATCTGCTTAGCAGTGTTTGAGAACTCATCCAGTTGTAAAGTATCATTGTTTTTTCTTTGTTGCTGTCAAACGTTTCATCAGCATTTTTAATGAAATGTCGCAGAGCCTTAGAATGTCCTTGATGATCTGAACCACACAAAAACTGTCTTGGAAGGGAAGTGTCTTTTGAAACCATGTTGCAGTGTCTTTGCAATGTAACGCAGGGGATTATTCGGGAACTAAAGTCATCACGATGACTTAATCTTTGAAATCTTTCTACAGTTCCTTTTGCTGTACACAATGCATCCAGCTTGTTGCTTTTAATATGATAACACTTGATCTCTTCTCTATTCATATCAATCCATGGAAGCTTGATGGTTTCATTTGGGATCGATGCTGTGTTTGGCCGAAGATTCTTTTCGTTTTTACATCTTACAAATTCCTGTTGCTGTATGCTTTCCGGTATTAGTTCTAATCTGCTTGCTAAAGTATTTCGTCTTTGAACCTTGGTGGGTTTATCCAAAAAGTCACTGACGATGGGTTTGGGTGTTGATACCCTTCGATGTAAGAGTTTTTTGTTCATCTCAGTTCTTTTGTTGGATGGTATTAAATGCTGTGAACAAGATACACCAGCACGACATGTATAACTTAGTCCTTCACAGTTTGAACTCCAACTGTGGAACCCGTTGCATGATACATTATTTTTAAGTACTGGGTGAACAGTGACATAACATAACGTGACCTTTTAGAATAATTAACTGACGCGTTAATTCAATAGCACGAGTGCAGCATGAGCTTTATTGTTTTTTAAAACAATAAAGCTCACTGAAGTTCTTAAACCCAGAAGCCTTATTCTTTGGCATAATGATGTTTAACAAACCATAAAAAGAACACTTAGAAAGTGTAAATATAATATATTTTATTAAAACTACAACCATTCATTGTCAAATTCACGCTACAAAATGTTCGTTCATTGAGAGTATTTGAAGTGAAAAAACCATCACAAAGTTCACGACCAAATCTTCTCTTCGCTAAAGGAACAAGATTAAATCCTGATATCGTGTCCTTTAAAGTCATTAAAAAAAAACATTTCGTTACATAATTTAAAGCGGCCACAAAAATGTCAAGGTAGATTGCATACACGTGCAATTGCATGCTGGTGAGTCTATTTCATGCCCGTTACCGCATGCGCGAACGGGGAAGCAGGCGCGGTCGCTGGGAAGCGGGGCAGGAAATTAAAAGAGCGCTCAAAAAAGCGCGCGCAAGAAAAAAGATGTGATACAGTGGAAACGCGAGGAGTACAGTTTGAAAAAGCAAGAGAATAAAATCTTGAGTGAGGAGCAACCGATTTTTTTTCCCTAAGTTGAGGCCAGACACTTTGGTTTTTTAAAAAAGTTGAAGTTAAAAAACTCACTACGTCATCGAAGGAACTCAAAGCTTCATTATTATCCGGTATAGCTACATCCAAACCGCAGTTTCAGAACACTTTCTCAGCAATAGCCACTCTGTTACCCATATCGGTTACTTATCCCAATTGAAATACTTAGATATGAGCGCGATTGTCTTAGGAAAGCACGCGAGGCGCACCTCATTCGTAAAGCTCAAACCATCGAGCCTCTGGGAATGAACAAACGTGACGAACTTTTTCTTGATTTATTTTTCTTAGCAGCCACACCTTACCACGTCATACCATGTAACTTCCGTTTATTATTTTACAGCAGTATATATTCTGTATATTCGTTTTTTCGTGATAAAGACTGGTATTGGCCAGTCGAAAAATAGGATACCTCAGCCTTTTTCACGTTGTTTGATCAGTCTTTGCAGTAACGTAGTCTTTTTTACTTTAACTTTACATTTCTGATAATGAGTGGTAGTATTATGGTATCACTGTCCACCCCCTTTATCTGCGCAACAAACATCTCAGCCGAAATCACTGGTGTATCTTCAATATTCACTGCACACTATCGACTCCTACCCAAGACGAGTTTTCTTTGGAATAGTTTGGACAATCGCCAAAGTGTTCAAAAAAGACCTCTGCATAACATATGAAAGGCTCATAAAAATGTTCTTTAAATTTATGTTAATTTTATCCTGAGTTTTCAGTAGTCCTTCATCTCTTTAAAACCCTTATTAGTCTTCCAGACTTTTTAGCTGTTTCATTAAACCAATGACAGCCTTCGTTTGAATATTTCAAGCCTTTCCATTACATGTTCTCACTTTACAGAAATTTTTTCTCATAAGACACTAGAGAGGAAAAAAGATAGAACTGAAGCTAAGCTTTGGTGTCTCCTAAAACCATTTTCAAATTCCCTTTTTTGACTTGATGTAAAAAACTACTTACCTCATTTCTTTTTTCAAAAAAACTCTCTAGTTTCTAATAAAAAATTTGGACTCAGCCCAAATTGTGTATTACTTCTTCCTTTATGTTATTTGTCTACGTGAGTCTATGTGATGAGTATATCAACAGACTAAAACGCCGAGACCTCTATAAGAGCCTCTTCAAATACCAAAAATTTCTGGAGAATCAACCTGTCAATTCCTTTTGTAACTGGTCCACTTTCAAAATGCAGTTTCATAATTATAGAGCGGAAAGTAATTTTAGGCTTGCCAGCACCATCACAATAAAAACGTTTAACATTTCTCCCTTTAAGGCCTAATAACGACATAAAAATTCCCCAGACAAGTCTCCATACATTTCCAAAAAGAATAATGACATGTAGTTGAGACAATGTGTTATAAGATCAAGCATTTTCCCTTTGGTGATCATAATCATTGGTTCACATAACTTTTCTCTTGATGATGGATGATGTATTAACTGCGCACAGTACTGAACTAGAGTAATAATAATTTATTATTTTATTATATAAACACGCGATAATTCATCAGGGAAGCTATATTTATGTACAGATGGTAGAATAAGAAAGTGTACTTATACATGGCTCTGGAAACTGGCCTTTCAGTAATATACATATAGGTCGACAGTTCACTACAAATTTTTCCTATCGTCTTTGTTTTTGGATATTCCTTAATAGAACATTTGATTTTAGCGTTAGTTTAACAACTAACCCTTCTGGGATTGAATTGTCTTTGCTTTCGACTGTGCTTTCGGCTCTTATATTCTTGCCTCAATTTCACAGTAGCCTACGTTTTTTGAGCGAACAAAATAATGTTATTGTACAAGAAGTCAGAAAATATGTTTTGTCATGATCTGCTTAGCAGTGTTTGAGAACTCATCCAGTTGTAAAGTATCATTGTTTTTTCTTTGCTGCTGTCAAAAGTTTCTTCAGCATTTTTAATGAAATGTTGCAGAGCCTTAGAATGTCCTTGATGATCTGAACCACACTGTCTTGGAAGGGAAGTGTCTTTTGAAACCATGTTGCAGTGTCTCTGCGATGTAACACAGGGAGTTATTAGAGAACTTAAGTCATCACGATGACTTAATCTTTGAAATCTTTCTACAGTTTCTTTTGCTGTACACAATGCATCCAGCTTGTTGCTTTTAATATGATAACACTTGATCTCTTCTCTGTTCATATCAATCCAGGGGAGCTTGATGGTTTCATTTGGGATCGATGCTGTGTTTGGCCGAAGATTCTTTTTGTTTTTACATCTTAAAAATTCCTGTTGCTGTATGCTTTCCGGTATTAGTTCTAATCTGCTTGGTACAGTATTTCGTCTACAAACCTTGGTGGGTTTATCCAAAAAGTTATCGACCATGGGACTGGGCGTTGAAACCCTTCGATGTAAGAGTTTTGTGTTCATTTCGCCTGGATAAATTCAATGTAGTCCACTTGAGATACCAGCGCTGTGTGTCTGACACCTTCAATTGAACTCCAGTTGTGAATCACAAAAGCACGATACAACATCTTTATTTACCGACTGATCAGTGACATAACATAACCTTATCTCGAACCTTTCGAGTGAATTACTGACACGCTTATTTCACGTGCTCAATCCTCATTGTTTTAATTCGCTGAGGTTGCTTTTAATTAATGATCAGTAGGGTATAATAATGTTTAAAACAACCATAAAAAGAATGGAAATTATAAACATAAGTTTAATTAAACCTACAACCATTCATTGTCAAACAAAGTACAAAATGTTCCTTCGCCAGCTTCTGAAATGCTGGCGCACTTTGTACTTAAGTACTCGATAGAAACTTGACTGGACCAAGTGAACATTCCACAGTGGTGAGGATCAACTTTTGCCATATCGAGAGAAAATATATACAGTGTGGATTGCAAAAGAAAGGAGAAGACAAATATATCGTGCGTGTTGACGCTACGTTTCACTGAGCAAGGGTAAAAAGGCAGAGACCTGATCCGGGACTAACAAAAAACCGGCATGTTATGCAAACACCGGTCACGAAAATGTCATGGTACACTGACTGCACGTGCAACCGCATGCGAGGGGACTCCGTAAACTAATTCGAGAAAGGTTGTCGGTTGAAAGCGTAAGTGTACGCATCAATCCATTAAGGCAAGAGGGAATGAGCCAAAGGTAATCTCGGATATAATAAATGAATTTTAAGAAGTCAAATAAATAATAAAAATAAATTAAACCGGCAACGCCTATAGTCCGTACAGATGGAGGGCCAATGTATCGAAAGACGAAGTTTTTTGGAAAGGGAAATAATATTAGTACGATAGTTGAACGGAAATAAAACTAAAAAACAAATATGCCTCAAGGCCCGGGTCAAACGTCGCACTTTACATGTGCCAGGTCTGTCTTTTCCTGATGCAAGTGAGGTAGAACAATAGGTTTTCCCTATTAGCATTGAATTCCGCACATGTGACTGGGAACTGGCTACGTTTGAACCAGGCCTGTAGGTTAACTCGTTATGTAAAATTAGCTCAAAAATTGGCTATTTCAGTCTCAAGTTCACGTGCAACACATGCCTGTCAACTCAGTTACTTATGCTCTTTTATTTTTGAAAACATTTGGCAAACCGCAACTTTTCTCTGAAACAACGGTTTAGAAGTTAAAAAGTATGCAAAAGGTGTGAGAACTTTTCTCACACTTTAGCTGTCGAACCAACATTTTGCTTTCTTGTAATCAACTTGCAAACGGCTTTCCCTGAATGAACAATTTTCCGGTAATCGGAAGTAAGGGACTTAAAACTAACCACATGCCTTTCGGAGGTTGTCGCGTGCACTTTAACTACAGTAGTTCATTTCTCGACACCCGCCGTGTCGTCGTGTGAAAACGTTCGTTTCCAAAATAATCTCATTGTCCAATTCGACCCATTCTCAGTCTCTTCCAAGCTCACGCTTTTTCTAAACGATAACAAGACTAACGATCACAGTAGTATACCATTGTAGGCGAGGAGCAGTAAACCCCCATCTGCTTATTTGCCAACTCGCCACGTAAATTGTTAAAATTTCCCGGGTACAATTTCAACCTACCAAGGACGCAAACTTACGTTCTCCGACGATTTCTCTACCCCTCATCTCATGAGGAGTCTTGTAAGGAGCATTTTACTTTAAAATGCAGTGTTTTCCACGCCACTATCAGTGTCACAACACTGAGCGTGACAATACTGGTTTGCGTTACTCAAATCCAAATAAGAACAATGACGTAACATCATCTGCTCTAGTTGTTCGTGAATGAAAGTGAAGGATGGTCTCTCGGCTGGCTTCTCGTGCCAGCACAGGCGCATGAGCTCGTACCTATCAAGAAAAAGAAAAGAGTTTGTTTTAAAAAAATATATAAAGCGAAAGAGAATTCATGTTATGTTGAAGCTATTTTTTTATTTTCAGGGACATATTATGGATTCATTTTTAACCACTTCATCTCTTCCCTTTTTTGTCACTAAAGATTGCTGAACATTTAGGAAAATATTGCTCTTTAATTAACTATAAACCCGCTAGATAGAAAAATGTTTCAATAATTTTGCTCAGTCTTTTAACAAGAAACACTTCAACAAACTGTTACACCTGTGCTGAGATCTGAAAGTGATCACTATCAAATTTCTCCCTGTCATGCCATTACGAGAATTAAAGACATGATCACACAAGATGAATCGAATTGTACTTTAACAAATTCTCCCCACTACTTCTATAGGAAATGTACAGAGACAACAAATGAGAATCTGAATTTTTTTAAAGGGTTTAATTCTCACCATGCAAGATAAGGTGTTCTTTTGTTCGCATTGCCTTATTAGAAATGTCTCGATATCAAAGAAGGCGAAAAAAAATTCTCACGTTTCTTCTGTGCACATCGGAGGCTTCTCCAGTCTATATCCACTGCTGAGGACTTGAAAAAGTCTCTGATTGGCGATGGTAGGATATGGAGTGCCTCCTGCAAACAAGGCAACACACGCATTCAATTTGCACTCCTTATAAACGGGAGGAGAACTGGAGCCGAAATGTGCCCGCAAGTATTTCTGGGATTTTTCCTGAAGACGCGCTGGTCTGCTATTGGCCATTTTTTGCCACGTGACTACTAACCTTTACTACTAACCGTCCCAGAAGTATTTGCGAACGTTTACTCGGCCCAGTTTTCTACTCATTTCTAAAGTTGTAAATGGAGAAATGTAGGAGCTGCTGGTAAGGTGTCTCCTCATAGGTCACAGAAAACAATAACACATCATTGTGTATCATTATTCCCCATTGTTTAACGGATAGCGTATCGAACCAATTGGCTTTTTGGGTTAGGAGAGCTGCTACATGACTAGGTACATGACGAGAATCAAACTGTTTTAAAATATCTGCACCCCCATCGAAGTCCAAACTTCTTTAAACCATGACTAGACTTCAAAATGGTGCATACTGGTATCAGAAAGGATAAAAAGTTAGCTCCTCTGAGCTTGTTACATACCAAGTGTGCCCACTTCCCACAACAGAATGCCATACGCCCATCTGTGGACAGAAACAAAGGAATTTTGATAGGTTGGATAGAAATGCACACGCCCAGGTAAAGAAAAATCACAGAAAGCGTAAGTGTACGCATCAATCCATTAAGGCAAGAGGGAATGAGCCAAAGGTAATCTCGGATATAATAAATGAATTTTAAGAAGTCAAATAAATAATAAAAATAAATTAAACCGGCAACGCCTATAGTGCGTACAGATGGAGGGCCAATGTATCGAAATACGAAGTTTTTTGGAAAGGGAAATAATATTAGTACGATAGTTGAACGGAAATAAAACTAAAAAACAATTACGCCTCAAGGCCCGGGTCAAACGTCGCACTTTACATGTGCCAGGTCTGTCTTTTCCTGATGCAAGTGAGGTAAAACAATAGGTTTTCCCTATTAGCATTGAATTCCGCACATGTGACTGGGAACTGGCTACGTTTGAACCAGGCCTGTAGGTCAACTCGTTATGTAAAATTAGCTCAAAAATTGGCTATTTCAGTCTCAAGTTCACGTGCAACACATGCCTGTCAACTCAGTTACTTATGCTCTTTTATTTTTGAAAACATTTGGCAAACCGCAACTTGTCTCTGAAACAACGGTTTAGAAGTTAAAAAGTATGCAAAAGGTGTGAGAACGTTTCTCACACTTTAGCTGTCGAACCAACATTTTGCTTTCTTGTAATCAACTTGCAAACGGCTTTCCCTAAATGAACGATTTTCCGGTAATCGGAAGTAAGGAACTTAAAACTGCCCACATCACTTTCGAAGATTGTCGCGTGCACTTTTCTACAGTAGTTCATTTCTCGACGGCCGCACGTGACGTCGTGTGAAAACGTTCGTTCCCAAAATAATCTCATAGTGTAATTCGACCAATTCTCAGTTTCTTCCAAGCTAACGCTTTTTCTAAACGAAGACAAGACTAACGATCACAGTAGTATACCATAGTGCGAAGAGCAGTAAACCCCCAACTGCTTATTTGCTAACTCGCCAACCGTAAATTGTTACAATTTTCGGAGGAAGTTTCCACCTACCAAGGAAGCAAACTTACGTTCTCCGACGATTTCTCCTCTCCTCATCGCATGAGGAGTCTTATAAGGAGCATTGTACTTTAAAATGCAGTGTTTTCCACGTCACTATCAGTGTCACAACACTGAGCGTGACAATACTGGTTTGCATTACTCAAATCCAAATAAGAACAATGACGTAACATCATCTGTTCTAATTGTTCGTGAATGAAAGTGAAGGATGGTCTTTCGGCTGGCTTCTCGTGCCAGCACAGGCGCATGAGCTCGTACCTATCAAGAAAAAGAAAAGAGTTTGTTTTAAAAAAAAATTAAAGCGAAAGAGAATTCATGTATTGTTGAAGCTTCTTATTATTTTCAGGGACACATTATAGAATCATGCAAGGCATTCATTTTTAACCACTTCATCCCTTCCCTTTTTTGGCACTACAGATTGCTGAACATTTACCAAAATATTGCTCTTAACTATAAATCCGCTAGATAGAAAAATGCTTCAACAAATGTGCTCAGTCTTTTAACAAGAAACACTTTAACAAAATGTAACACCTGTGCTGAGATCTGAAAGTGATCACCATCACTTCTCCCTGTGATGCCATTACTTTACAAAACACATTGGCGACGAGAATTAAAGACATGATCTCACAAGATGAATCGAGTTGATTCTCCCTACTACTTCTATAGGAAATGTACAGGTACAAAAATTGAGAATCTGCATTTTTATTTTAGGGTGTTTAAAGGGTTTAACTCTCCTCATGCAAGATCAGGTGTTCTTTTGTTCGCATTGCCTTATTAGAAACGTCTTGATATCAAAGAGTGCGAAAAAAATTCTCACGTTTCTTCTGTGCACATCGGAGGCTTCTCCAGTCTATATCCACTGCTAAGGACTTGAAAAAGTCTCTGATTGGCGATGGTAGGATATGGAGTGCCTCCTGCAAACAAGGCAACGCATTCATTCACGCCTTTTAAACGGGAGGAGAACTGGAGCCGAAATGTGCCCGCAAGTATTTCTGGGATTGTTCCTGGAGACGCGCTGGTCTGCTATTGGCCATTTTTGCCATGTGACTACTAACCTTAACTACCAACCGTCCCAAAAGCTTTGCGAACGTTTACTCGGCCTAGTTTCCTACTCATTCTAAAGTGGTAAATGGGGTAATGTAGGAGCTGCTCGTAAGGTGTCTCCTCATGGGTCACAGAAAACAATAACACATCATTGTTTATCATTATTCCCCATTGTTTAAAGGTTAGGGTATCCAACCAATTGGCTTTTAGGGTTAGGAGAGCTGCTACATGACTAGGTACATGACGAGAATCAAACTGTTTTAAAATATCCGCACCCCCATCGAAGTCCAAACTTCTTTAAACCATGATTAGACTTCAAAATGGTACATAATGGTATCAGAAATGATAAAAAGTTAGCCCCTCTGAGCTTGTTACATACCAAGTGTGCCCACTTCCCACAACAGAATGCCATACGCCCATCTGTGGACAGAAACAAAGGAATTTTGATAGGTTGGATAGAAATGCACACGCCCAGGTAAAGAAAAATCACGAAGACAGACAACGACGATTTTTTACAGCGCAAAAAGACTACAATCGGCGTCGAAATCATTGAATAAAGTATACACCCGCCTATAAGAGCAAATGGATTAAGAAAATCAGGCTGAAATTTGGCCCACAAAGTAGAACCAGTTCGGCCTGATATATATATAAAACATGTTCTTATATAATAAGGGAGAGGGTGTCGGAATAAGAAAGCAATGTAACTATGGTTGCTGATAGACAATTATAAATTAACTATTAATAACAGTTGCCTGGAAGTCTTTAGGATTTTACTTACTTAAGAACTAGATCCGCCTAAATCCCGAAATCTTATACGCGGGTGTTTACTGTATTTCGTTTGACATTATTTCTGTAAGACGACCACCAACGGGATCACTCCCCCACCCAGCCCCTGACCGATTAAAGTGGGCGTTTTCGTTGTTTCCAGCAGGCAAGGTGACAGGCAAGAACGATCTCCACGAGATGAGAAATAATAGGCTGATTTAGCATCAGGACGGGAACGTCAATTGACGACGGGAAAGCACACGGAAAGGACTAAACACGACTTCCGGTGCCCAATTTGCAGCTCTGCCATTGGTCAAGCCAGTTGTTTAATTTGCGCGCGCCGTCGTCAACTGACGTTCCCGTTCCGTTGCTAAATCAGCCTAATATAAGACGATTAGGAACGATTCAACCCCCAGTTAAGGAAACCTGTCACATGTTACAAATAGACGTTTTTTTAGAGATGAGTGAAAGAGATCGACAAAGGATCTAAGGTACGCATGAGGTATAAGATAGATAAGTCATTAATGAACCACTGAAAGTGGTGCGTAGGTTCTGTTCATGTGACATTGGAAACGTACACGTCACTTTCCGTCGTGAAAACTTGATCATGGATCGCTTCTGGTGACATCCATTTAATCGGTAGTTTTCTAGCTTTCTTGCAATGATAAACCTTCTCCGTATAAATGTAACGCGACAAACCAAAGTCCGCGACCTTGACCAGCTTGCCTTCACAAACAAGCACATTTCTCGCTGCCAAGTCACGGTGGACAAAGCCTTTTCCTGACAAAAACTCCTAAGGAAAGAAACACGAATTATTTGTTACAGGACATTACCTTAATGGGTTCCCTTATATGTTTGACAAATAAGAGAAATAAGAAACAAAATGGTAAAACATAAAATGTTGCCAATGTTGCCAGCAGACCGAGGTCACACCCTAAAACTATATATGTGGTGCTGTGAACTGTTTTAGAAAGACGGAAACAATTGCGTTGCTTAATAATTTCGAGCTTGCAGAAAATTAAAGAAAAGGAGATTTGGACCTTGCAAACAACAAAACAAAATAACAAAGTGTAAACACATACCATTCCTTTCGCGATTTGCCATGCGAATGTTAGTAGGTCAGCGGGTGTCAGCTTTCCATCGTCATGTAATTCATCAGCATCTGTAACTACATTATTACAATGTTCGCCTTTGTCCTTGGGGGTCCCTTGGCGGGTTATGGTGGATGTATTTACATAACTTGCGCACTATCAAGAAAGAAATGAAAAAATGAAAATAAAGAACTTTCCTTTACCATACTTTGCACATTCGACAAGTTGACCAAAAAACTGAGCAACCTTTCCTACATCAATAATGGCCATTTTTTGAGTTGTTCCTAGCGTCGGTTTCAAAGCGAGGCTAAGTAGTAGCGATTGATATTTATAATACTTGTTTCCACAAGAAAGGTTTTGCACTTGGTGTCGTTTTGAAAGTGAGAGTTTTTGGAACTCGGAGATTGCCTATCCATCACACATTTACTTCAAGATAACTTGAAAAAAGGGACCCAGATCAGATAGGAACGAAAAAGAATAGCCATACGTGTTATGTCTTCATTTCGTTGATCATCCTGATCTCGATGTTTTGATTCCCTAAAGTCTAACGATAAATACATTACGCCTAAAGACAAATTAATAAAAAATATCCTGGACTGGATCTTGGTGTCGTATGGAGTTAAGAACTAGCCA